GCTACAAGGAATAGATAATCAACATAGTGTTGATAATATAAGTAAATGAACAACAAGCATGGTTCGCTCCAGATGCACCCCGCATCTGTTTGGGGGCAAGGTTTGACAGTTAAATAAAAAAGAGAGGAAAATAAATAAAATTAATTCCAAAATCTTACATGCTCCTGCCTCTTGAAGCCCACGTTGGTTTGATAATTGTTCTCTCTCCTCAATTACAAACAAACGAAGCCCCTTGTTTTTGTTTCATTCCTTCTCACATCGAAACTACTGTAAAAAAACCCACGCCTTCTTCCTCTTCATCTACCTTCTGCCGTAGAGAACGCCTCACCGCCTCTGGTGTTCGAATAAAGGAACACAATGTGTAAAGACCTTTGGAATTATCGTCTTTCTCTGCTTTGAAACCCTTCGTTCGCTTCCCTATTCACATGGCCCTCTTCTACATGTGGTTGCTCCTATTCATCCGCCTTCCCTAGCAACTGAAACCCTTCCATGCCTCAATCTGCCGAATGTGCTCCACTATTCATCGCTCCACAACCTTGCCTCACTTTCGAAACCCGTCTCCACTCCAATGATCATACTCTTTTTGTTTCACTACAAGGATATGATTACAACGTGTATAGAGAGTCAGAGACTTATGAGGTTCTCTTCTCCTTTCTTTTCTAGGTAGCGCACAAATTCAATATCTATTTTCCTCATCGCTTTGCAGGCATAATTGAAGACTCCTTTTCTACCCACACTGAAGTCACCAATTTTCTTCTCTCTCTCACGTAACCCGAAGTTGACACCTACTTTGAACAAAGCCACAACACGCTCACTGCCCTAAATCAAAGCCCATCCACACCATTTTCTCTTTGTTTCCATGGACTCACTTGAAGAAGTTGAGCCACACTTCATGGTTCTTCCTCCTCGCTATTGATTCCCTCTATTTACGAGACTAGACCGTGCCTTCTGCCTTACACGATGCAGTCGTAGTTTCCTCTCAGCTCTCGTGCTTGAAATCGCATACACGCCCTAGCTATGCGCCTTTCCAAAACCTGCTGTATCTGTCTGTTGCACAAGAAAGCACCCTACCCAAGCCCTTCTCTTTGTACTACAATCCTCAAGGCCGAGCATCCAACCCATGAACCCCTTCTTTCATATCCAATCCCGACTCGCTTACCTCATGCCAAAAACCCCAACCTCACCTGTTAATCGAGCCTGAGTACTAAGTCGAGCACAAAAAAGCAACTAGGCCCATAGTCCCCCAATTTATTATTTTTGCTTTATATTTTATCTTGTAAAAAAAAGAAAAGAAATAAAAATCAGAAAAAAATGTGTTATATTTGTTTATTTCATTGTTCGTCTTGTCACTTCAACTGTGTTGATCATCGTCCTTATGAATTAAGTACCATTTAGGGAAATCACGAACTTGTTTGGAATTTATTTTTTAAATTCAGGGGACTTAATATACTCGTCTTGGGAAACACGAGTATCTGTCCTTGGAAATTAAGTATCATTAAGGGAAAGTAAAATACCTATTTGTGGAAATGTTTGAGTGTGGTATAACTCTTTTTGCAGGTGTATTGAAGGTTTATAGCACCTTTTAAGACCGTGTGTTGGAATATAAATTTTGCTCTCAGCTGGAGTGTCTCACGACACCGACTAACGAGTTTTTTAAAACAATTAGGAATGTTGGCACTCTCCTGTGCCTTCTAATAGTAGTTGACGATGGGAGATTGCCAAAATTTCATGCGATTTGGACTTGTAAATAACAAAAAATAATGGAGTTTTCTTAAAATTATAAAATAATATAAAATGTAGACCATTTGAATTTTAAAAATAATTCTGAAATTTGAGCTTTAAAATTTAGGCCTTAGGGCTTTAAATATTTGGAAATTTAGGCTTTTAATATTTAGGCTTTTGGGGCTTAAAAACGAGCTTTTTAAATTTTAGGCTTTTATGGTATGAAAAATTATTCAAATATGAGGCTTTTGAAATTTGAAAATTCACCATTGGATTCACAATATACCTGCTAGCGAATAGAAGACAGTTCCTCTTAAAGCTCAAAGATGTAGCATTGCATGCACTCCAACAAGATAATATGCAAATAAATGTTTATAGTTTCAAATGAATGCCTTCAAAACCTATGGAAACTTCATGATTATTCCTTAATTTCAATGAAATGTCTTGTAATATTGACGAGTAGTTTTAAAGCTCCTGTAATCAATAAGTTGGACGCTTCTTAGTTATATATGATTCAAAATATTTATAAAAGGGAGTCAATTATGCATAATTTCAAATTCTTGCTTGTATCTTTTGATATAAATTTCATATCAAATTCATAGTTTAAAGATTGTGCAAGTTTTAATAATTTATAAAATTCTTTAAGTTATTCAAACTTATGAGGTTTAATCTGCACGGGCTCCAACTAAAATTCTAAATGCTTTAATGAATAACTTAGGAATGTTGTGCACGCTAAAGCCAAACTTGTACTCAAATAATTCATATTTTGAAAAGGAATCATTTCAGCTACATTGTTTATAAGGTAGGGTTGTAAGTCCCACTTTACTATTGCGATCCTCTTCCTCTTAAGGATTGTAGTTGAGGAGTTTATTTATTTTCAATAATATCGAAATCACATATATACAATTTGCAAGTCTAAACCACCCTCCGATCTTCTTCTTTATTAGAACTGAAGTCGGCAAGGCTTAGATCCTAAAATGTTTAACAAAACTCAAACGGATTTTAAATATAAAAGTTTTAAATATATTCAAATTCCCTGATGGTTATCACGTTGACTGAAAATCCCTACAAGAATTTAATATTTTTAAATCAATATTTTCAAAGTAATCAAACAAAACGTTCTAGGTTAAAATTAACCACGTAAAGGACTTCAATTAAATTTCATTCATCATCCACAGCAGTTTATCAAGGATGACATTTTTTATTCACTTTAACTCACAAAAGAGTTGATAGTACGAGTGTACTATTATATTTACACTCAAAATAATTTCATGCCAGTAACAATATGACTTGAGTCTTTTGTTTGCTTGATTTAACCAAATGCTCCACATAATGATGATTATGATCAAAGCCCTCTAACCGAGTGGTTGTCAACAGATAACATCATTATATTATGGTTACGGCCGCAACCCGTATGTTTCTAAACCGCTTTTATCTTTTGAGTTATGAACCATAAGGGAATATCTGATTGGTACAAACCCTTATATTCACTAAGGTCGACTTAAATTTGTCTCCTTAGAATATGTTCACTCCAGTTCTACATGGATTTCTTGGATGACACAACTCTTTGTTGCTGTCAGGGATATCTCTGTTAGGTTGGGTCAACTAACATCTCTGACTAAGTAGATTATGGACCACGATGATCCAAGATGATAGAACCATGGGATATTGATCGGTTTCTTCATCGTTTCCCCCATCATCCTTTTTAAGCTCCAAGGTGATAAATTTTATAACTTAAATCCTAAATCTGTTGCTACCGTATGTTGAATATTCAATGTTGATGACTTACTTATATCGAAAGCATTCTCCCATTATTGGGAGGGGTAATTAATCAGAAAGGCTTTCCCCTATGGGAAACCTCAAACCTCAAATCAAATAGTCCTTGCAAAATGAGGGTGAAATCCTTTTGTAGTGTCTTATCTACAATCCAATCAGCCTTATGAAAATTTGACCCTCAAACCTTTCAACACAAACACTAGAAATGTGAGTCCCGGGTGTCAAAATTATTGGAGCCCACAACCTCAACAAGGAGCGCCTTATATTTGAAGAAAATGTGGCCGTTAAGACGACTGAATGTCTGGAATATCAGTGTGGGGGATCTCAGAAACAAGATTACGTGGTAGTCTATCTAGTTGGCATTGGGAAAAATGGGAAATCACTGAAGGGGGCGGAGGAGAAGCTTGTGAGTCTTGAATCTTGATCATTTTGGTGGAAGGAGAAGGTGGCTTGTGTTAACAGAATATGGAAACACTTGATGACTCAAACTTGCAATAGGGCTCAATAATGCACCATATTAACTTATTATTAAACTGTGATGAGAAGATTGGTATTAATGTATAAAACTCAGAAAACTCCATAGCGCTCTGTATAACAATAGGGCACAAGCTGCGTAGTGCTCTGTATGGCGCTTTACTGCATAAATACATTTACTTGCAAAGCAAAATGCAATCTTACCATTCTGTACCATACTTAGAAAGCATGCTTCTTTGCACATTTAACAAGATTGCTAGAACCTGACATAACTAATTGTGGCAGCTGTTTTATAATTTTAAAGTGTGAAAAATGCTGCTTTATCTGTTTGTGAAAAATGCTAGTTTTCACACAGGTGAAAGTGTAATGAATGATAAAATTTTTGCTAATAAAATGATTCTTTAGCAAAAACATAGAGCAGTTGCTACTTCGGCTGCTGCTAGTCATGTTGATGGTCATGAGCCGACTAATGATGGCTGACCACCCTTTGCTATCTGTTCATCAAAACTATATCACATGGGCTCTATTAATAGATTTTCATTTCTTATCAAGTCAAAGTACAGTTCAGTTAGGGGATTCAAAGTGGCATGGTGCTGCATGTGAGGCCAAGAGACTACTATTTTTGAAACTCTGTGCATCATCAAACCTCAGCCATTTAAAAAATGATGGATAGTGCAACATACTGTAACCGTTTTGTAAATATGATTCATGATAATTGGTACTGCAACTCTTTCATTACTTGGTATCTGGCTCTTGTGCTAAGCTTATGGGGCTTAATCTGGCTTCCGAGCAAACTTGCTTAATAATTATCCTTAAGCTAGACAGATCTTGTTGAGCTTGCTTATGATTTTGGTTTACCTGTGTAAGCTTAACATTTTATCTTTGTGGAGGTTAGGTTGGATCTTGTAAGGATTTTATAAGTTTCTTATTCCACCTTTCCTATTATGATTTTATTTTACATTTTATTGTCATTTTTTAATTCCATTTCATAGTTAAACACTTCATTAACGCTAAGTTCTGTCTAATAGGTTCTACAAGATTTCAGTAAATGAGACAATCCTGTGGTATCAGGTTAGACTTTTGAGGCGTTTTCTTTTTTTATCATTTTTATTTTTGACTTATTTCTATTATTTTTATTGGAGGGTCCTCATTTATACTTCTTATAGTTATTTAAATTTTTGGAATGAAGTTGTTTTTGGATTTGTCCTTGCCTTTTTTGTTTTGTTTTGATTTCTTTAACCATATTTCTTCAAATTAAACTACTTGAAGTTTATTCTATTCAGGTCATTGATATTCAGCTCATCAATTTGTATGTGAACAGCTTTGCGATCAGATGATATTCAACCATGATCCACCAAGATGTCTGAATTGTCTGGTAGGTACTCATCGGGCTGAACCCTCTAGCTTCTCATATCTTTTTCTTTCTACATTTAAATATTCCTAGATTGCTTACACTTAAAACGTGGCACCTTACATACATCTGGAATGTTTTATGCGTTTTATATACTATTGATAATTTTAGAATAGAATAAAACTATTTATTAAAGTTTTCTCTGCCGCTCTGAATATACTTGTGAATGTAGCCATTTTGATAGTGCTAACGTACCTTTATGAGTTCCACTTAATATTTCATTAATTCAAGTAAAATAAATTCATAGGACGCAAGCCATTATTCAGAACTTAACTTTTAATTTTTATTTATATAAGATATAGATTATTGTGGATCAGCAATGCTCCGATTCTGTTCTTTTTTTTTCTTTGTTTGTTTCTTTATCCATACGTCAATGTGAGCCTTTTCCACTCCACATGATATTTGTAACCAAGCCAGATAGGAGTTCCTCTAAAATTGGACCTGCACTTATTTGGCATCTTTTTTTTTTTCGATCATTTTTTTGGGTTCTTCCTTCATGCTTCTATTTGAAACCTTTTTACTTCCAGTAGGGATGTGCTTTTCTTAAGATGAAGATGCATGGAGAGAGGATGGACCTTTAAAGAAATTGTTCTCGTATGTGATTATAAGAACTGTATTTTGGTAGGATTTTTTCTGAGGTGGGATGCGTCACACAGTAAACACTGTACGTCCATTTTCTAGTTAGCTTTGATAACCATTTGCCTTATATTGACCTTGTAGTTGCAGTTTAGAAAAGGGATAGAAAATTCTTAAACTGATGTTTTTTGTTATTGGTGATATTATCTCTTCATTGTTGATTGGTTATGCTCGATGAATTGAAGGACACCTAAGTCCAAGGTTATTAAATATATAAGATTTCTAAATGGAATCTATCTTGTCTCGTTATTGTTGATTGGTTATGCTCGATGAAGTGAAGGACATTTTACTCTAACTTTAAAAACTTTAGAAGCTTTCTAAGTGGAATCTCTTTCTTATGTTATCAGTCATATTTTGGATATTATACTGTAAAAATGTAGTAAATGAAACTAAGAACTTCATCTAATTAAATATTCTTTTTTTTTAATTTTAGTATTTTCTTAGTTTGTTTTTATACATATGATGTCCTACAAATCTTTGGATGTGTCTTGATATTAATCAACTGAATTACCTGGTATGAAGTGCTATTGCTGAAGTCACTAATCTTTTTTGGTGAACCTGCTATTTTATCCTTGCTGCGATAGGATTGTGGTGGCCCATTGCGTTGCGGGATGCAGTGCAGTGCACTTACTGCAAAAGACATAGGAGGTACTTCACTTCTGTTTCTTTTCGAAATGGCTTCTTCCCCCTCAGTGTTTTTATTTGAAATAAGATTTATTTAATTAAATTGCTCCAATATTTCTTGCTTTAACATTTTCTATTTCCTCATTTCATTGAATAAAATGTGTCTGTTAATACTCGTTCTCTAAAATGAGTTGCATGCTATTCCATTTATTTTGAGGTGAAGAAGGAATTATTGTAGGGACATTTGAAAGTGATCAGTAAAATGTTGGGTGAACGTAAGAATCTTTTCCTTTCCTGTTTGTGAGAACCATCAAAAGTTACTAGGTTTTGTTATATTAGCCCGTCACCAAATTGTTGAGTTCTCATCAACATCACAGGAAAGATTTTATGCAATCTCTTAGAATAACTTAGAAGATGATGAAGGTATTTACTGAACTTGGATTTGACCTGCTGTTTTGAGTAGATTTTCATTGATTATCAGGAGTTACTTTTTTTTGGTGCTTTGTAGGTTATAAATTGGATTCTTGAGGTAGTTAAAATTCAGTGAACATTGAATATTGAAGTACAATCAGCTTTTTTCTATGTGTATGATCGTTAGATGTGTCTTTTTCGAGTGCTTCATAGATGTGGACAACTAATTTCTAAGGGAAACTTCTTGTACTGGGTCATGATGCTTATTTTCTTCTATGCAATCTTGTATGAAGAGCAAGATAAACTACTGGGATGATGGTAGTTTTTTTAATTTGAGTTGGTTTCTATCTTTGTTATTATTTTTTAAATTGTTTAGCCACTATTTTTTTTGTGCGATCAGAAGTTTGTCAAGTGAGATACATGTCAAATTATTTGTTTAAGGTGTTAACTTGACCTTTGCTCAAGTTTAATGTTCATCAGTGTTTCTTGTGGAGTTTCATATCTTGGGATTTTGTTTAATTATCTCTTAGAATGAACTAAATATTGTTTTTAATATTGAAAAAAAGTTTTGTTAAAATTTTTAGTTGATAATGTGCAGATTCTTTGTTTTTGTGGTTTTATCTTGCACCTCATGCAAGATTGCATTAGAAATTCTAGATCTTTAGCCATCCTACATTACGTATTCAAGGTTCTTATTTAGTTTTACATTATTGGAAAAGAAAAGAGAGTCAATCTTAATGTTTGATAGTTGATGTGCTGTACTGACTCCCTATGGGGGCGCTACATGACATCTTTTGATTGTGGAATTGCAATTTTAGAAATGGATTTGTACAGTGAGGATGGAAGCCAGTGGATGGCAGTAGCTTGTTATTAGATTGAGAATTTCTTTGAATCTGCCTATGTCATAACCATAGTCCTCTGGTAAGATTGTGTTAAAAAGTCGATATAAACAATGCAAGGTTGGTTCAACTTCAAAGTGCAGCTTTTTTGGACAAGGCCTGTTTGGATATATGCGTTCAGGTGAGCAACCACATCAATAAGAGGGTTTGTTCTGCATTCAATTGGTCACTCTTACTTTTGACATATATGTGCATAGTCCGGATGGTTGGGTTATTATTACTTCAATTGATTTCCATGATTTACAAATGCCACATTTTCTTAATTCTGAATAATGTCGGATGTCTTAAGGTCTAGGATTTACTAATATAATTCTAGGAAAAGATGAAAGTAACACAAAAACTACTATAATTTATAAATTCCCAACCAGTATTCACACAAATTTATTCTATTTTGATATAAATGTAGAAAACATACTTCATTCGTTTCTAAATTATGATGTAAAAGTTGCTAGGATTTAAAATTCCATGATAAATCTAAGAGCCAATATGAATTATGCAGTAAATAAAATTAACCATAAAAGGGAAATCATAAGTATCAAGTTTGACAAAATTTCCTTGACGAAACATATACCAATTATTGAGCATTTAAGAGGAAAGGATAAATAGTAGAAGTGCCAATTACAAGATCCGAACCTCTTGTCAGTACAAAGAAAATCGTCCCTCAAAAGCTATCCTCAAGGACTGCAAGTGCTCAAAGAACCTGTATCTAACAACTTATGCTAGTATGGATGGAAAATGTCTTTTTTACTTGGAATACCTCTTGGGTCTTATTTATGAAATTAGTAACTTATGAAATTCCTTGAAGATTACACATTAGAATTTCAACAAGTACAAGTTTCCATACTTAATTTTAAATTTTAACAAAACTTCAATATTAAAATTTTTGTTCCCACAACTCCATAAAGTTTCACTCTTCTAGCTACTGTAATGCCAATGAAATGATTGAAATCAATTAATTGAACAAAACTACAATACCCAGAAATAGTGTAGCAGGAATGAAGTCATTTAACATGAAATCTACGAAGAGGCATGTGAAAGCTATAAGCTAGTCCCAGAAGGAAATCGAGAAATTGCCACATAAGCTATAACACTTGAGTGGAACAGAGGCACTTTGCAGTGCTTGAAAGAAGCAGAGAGTGCTAGAGCCCACAAGAAGGAGGTGAAGATTGGAATATGAATTGTAGTTGATGCGAACTTAATTGAAATAACTTGTAGAAGTAAACCAAAGTTTAACAAGATAAAAACAGAGACAGAAATTTCGTTAGACATCAAATAATGCCTCCAATTTTGAAGCGATTGTACATCCATACAAAATTTCATACCATAGTTGGAATTTTTATTTTGCTTTATTAACTTCTCAATAATTGAAAGAAGCAGAGAGTGCTAGAGCCCACAAGAAGGAAGTGAAGTTTGGAATATGAATTGTAGTTGATGCCAACTTAATTGAAATAACTTGTAGAAGTAAACCAAAGTTTAACAAGATAAAAACAAAGACAGAAAATTCGTTAGACATCAAATAATGCCTTGAATTTTGAAGCGATTGTACATCCATACAAAATTTCATATCATAGTTGGAATATTTTTATTTTGCTTCATTAACTTCTCAATAATTGAATCCATTCTGACTTGGAACTCCACCAAATTCTATATCGAATACAGCACACAGAACCTCTAAAAGTTTATTAATTTAGGTAATTTAAGCACATGTGCATTTATAGATGTCTCTTTAATGTCATTGAAAGAATGTTCAACTATTTTGTTCATTTGAATCCTTAGTAAATTTATAATCTGTATCATGACATGTATAAAACATTAATCAATAATTGCTTAGAATTTCCCAAACATTGAGAACTCTAAATTTTTCATAATGTTAGTAAGTGTTAGTGAGTCCCCAACCGTTTTAACTTTATGGAGATCAACATATAATCTATTAGTAGATGCTACAAATACCAAAAATATGATAGATGGTATTGCAAAACAACTCTTCTTTAGATTTACTTATATTCTTTCAGATTGCAATGTTTTATAGACCTTCCAAATTTATATTAAATACTCTTTAATCTTGTTGTAAATTATAGTATAATCAAATTGCGCTACCAAATTTTTTCCTTTAAATCGTCAAAGAACATGATTCATAATTTTTATGAAAGCACATGGTGCATTAATTAGTTTGAAAGCCATTTCTAAGTTTCTAACCATTTAGAAAGATCATTGTTCATTTTAAAACCACTTTTTAATTCATCACCCTCTTTTTTTCTCACTTGATGGCAACTACTCGCTAGCTCAATCTTTGTTAAAGTAACAAGTCCATTCATAATATCTAAACTATCATAGTTTTAGTATGTGTAATTGTTGTTGATGAAGATTTTATAAATGGCATGACTATCCACACATATCCTCTAAATACTTTTCTTCTGAGTTGTAACTAATAGGAGTAACATGTAGACTCGTACCCGCCTTTTCAAATATTCTTTTCGAATTAGTTCATCTATTTAGTTTAAGTTCAACATGCTTGGTAGGATTAATCTTATACTGTGGTGAATAAGGTATTGTTGATCTAGAAATCAAATTGACAACGTCTATATTTTTAAGTTTAGGTAATTTATCAAGTAGTTCATCAAGGCATAGTTCTTTGAATTTAGATAGTTATTGGTCAACATTCTGAAGCACAAATATGCTCTTAGTCAAATCTTCATTCAGCTCAACAAATATCCATACATATGTTATGCCCTTAGCCTTACACTCCTTTTCCAAAATTATGTTTGTTCAAGATGCGTACTTTTGTTTAGATTATTTAGAGCACTTAATTCTTTTAATGCGAGACTTATTGATTTTTTAGGTTTCAAAAGTATCCCTCTTATTATTTTGAAATGTATAATTATTTGACTTCCCACATCATACAATCATAATCTACCCAAAATAACATGTGTAGCATCCATTATGGAAACATCACACAATGTATTATCACTATAGGTAGCAAGCGAAACGAGTAGCAAGCATCTTTGAGTTATCAAAAGTGTAGTTTTATCTGCCTAGCTACTATTTAAGATTGTGATATGGTCTAGCTCTTAAAATCCTGCATTCAGTTGTAGACTTAGGGTCCGTTTGGGGCAGCTTGTGCGTTTCAGGATAAGCTGCTTATCCTGAAATGCGGCCTGCGGGTCAACCGCAGGAGTCGACTCGCGACCTGCGTTTAGTGTAAAAACTCAAACGCAATTTCGGATAAGCTGGTGAAACGCGCGAACCAAACAGTACGGTGAAAACGCCGCCCGCGCTTATAAGCTGCCCCAAACAGACCCGAACCCAGCTTAAAATAAACCCTATTTAATTTTTTGTATTAAATAGGGGAACTTGTCGGCAAATAAAACGGTTTCGCAGACCAAACGGATGTCATATCTTTCTTAGTTTATTTGATCGAGTCTCACTCTCAAGTCTTGTGTTTATCCCTTGGGGTAGATACAGGATTTGAGGTTGAGTGCTCTTTCATTTAAACTATGGAAAATATGAGGTCAGTTTGATTTCATATTTTTCTAAAATTATATATATATACGTAAATTAAAAAGTCCTTCCGAAGCGGGCAACGGGATTTCGATTCCGGCGACCGACAGCTTCTTACGGGCGACCCCCAAACTTTTAAAAAACTCTATTTTCCCCCTTTTAAGCGCCGACAGCTGCCCCAAACAGACCTTTAGCAATTTTATTCACGTAAGTTTC